TTGTCTGAAGAGTTGGCCTCAGGAATGGTTTTAGTTCTGGGTTGACAGTCCGGGAGCCATGCTTTCCGGGGATCCTCCAGTCTCAGTCAGACCATTAAGTCTGGTCTTTTTACTAGAATTTGAGTTCTGCACCCCACTTTTCTCATGCTCCATCAGGTACTCTCTGTTGTGTTCCCTGTCAGGGCAGTCATTGGTGGTAGCCGGGCACCATCTAGTTCTTCTGGTCCCAGGCTGATGCAATCTCTGGTTTATATGGCCCTTTCTGTCTCTTGGGCTAAGATTTTCTTCACAGGGTTTTCAATGGCTGAGACTTCTAATAGATAAGCTGAGATCAAGTCCCCCTCCTCTCCATGATGACTCATCCCTCTGCACTCATCTGGGAACCAGCTCTTCAGAGGATTGTACTTACAGTGAAAATTACAAGCTAATTTCTCCAATCTCCTTTACAAATCTGCCTAAACACGCTCTCGGCTCCCACCACTACTCTCCCTGCTCTGGTACTTAGCACAGGCCTGCCAGGGCTGCTTGCCTTCAGACGCACCAGAAGTTGCTGGAGAACAACAGCAGTGCCAGGGCCACTAACAGTTATCAGGGAAATCTTGGGCTATGTGAATACCACCTTCCAGAAAAAGGTAGAAAACCAGAAATGACTTGTGAAATATTTATATTTTCCCTTCAAAATAGTGTCTCTTGCTTTGGGTCTTCTCCAGTTGCAGGATTTCTTGGAAGAGAAGGTGGAACACGCAGTGCTGGGGATTCCCCTTTCTACTTCTTTTCCACCCCAGTATTCAATTAAGACTGACGCTGAATTAAGAAAAAATAACACTATTTCAGGACAAGAAGGTTGTTCCTTACTTTGATTCTACAGAGGCAGAGCTATTTCCAAGCTGGAAAAAAAAAAAAAAAATACTGCCATCAAGTCAATTCTGACTCATAGTCACCCTGCAGGACAGAGTAGAACTGCCCCATAGGGATTCCAAGGAGTGGCTGGTAGATTGGAACATCCGACCTTGTGGTTAGCAGCCGAACTCTTAATCACTGTGCCACCAGGGCTCCAAGTGAAGAGACTGTAAATATAAAAGCTGGGTAAGCTTCTCTCATTGGGGACGCATTCTTTCAATTTAGACTTTGCATCATTCCTGTCAAATCTTTACCTAAATGCCTTATTGGTGGAATGACATGTCCTCATATTGCTGCTATGTGTTCAGATACCTAAGATACATCCCACACCCTGAATCTGACAAGCAGGGACTTTGGACCCAGACTGGATTCCCCATTACTAACCCTGGCCTTGGGTGTACTGTTGAAGCATTGTGCACTTTGGTGTCCCACCTACAGATGTAGATGATGGGAGTTATAGACTCGTAGAGATTAAATGAGTATATGTCATCTAGTGCCATGCCTGACACATGAAATGCTAGTTCTCTTTTCCACATGGGTGAAGTGGTAGACACGGACAATCTTAGGCAGTGTATGTTGGTACCGGAGTCTCCGGGTGGTGCAAAAGGTTAAGAGCTCAGCTGTTGACTAAAAGTTGGAGGTTGAAGTCTACCCAGAAGTGCCCTGGAAGAAAGACCAGGTGATCTACTTCTGAAAAATCAGCATTGAAAACCTTATAGAGCACAATTCTGAGTTGGAGTCGACTTGATGGCAACTGGTTTAACATGTTAGTACCAGGGTAATGAAAGGGCTTAAAGAATTCATGCAGAAAGGGGGCAGGCCTTGAAGCACTGGTGAAATTTAAACTAGTCAATAGACACAAAGAACCGTAAGGAAGTCAAGGAGAAGCCAGCATGCCCTATTTTAGGAAGAAAGGAATCTTACAGAAATAAGGAAGCTCACAGGAGCCCCTCTGCTGTGAGTCCATGGGTCCTGCCACCAAGTAGCACTCAACTCTATGGGCTGTCTACAACAAGGCCACACTGACTTTTTTCTTAACATTTTACTGTGATTTAGGTGAAAGTATATAGAGCAAATGAGTTTCCCATCCAACAATTTATACACAGATTTTTTTCATAACATTGGCTGCAATCCCCTCAATGTGTCAGCACTCTCCCCACTTCCACCTGGGTTCCCCTTTTCCATTCGTCCAGCTTTCCTGCCCTTTCCTGCCTTCTGAATTTGTTTTTGAGCAAATGCTGCCCTTTTGGTCTCATATATATTTGAATGTTCTGAGAAGCATGTTCCTCACTGTTGTTATTGTTCACTTTATAGGCCTGCCTATTAATTGGTTGAGAGATGATCTCCAGGAGTGGGTTCAGTCCCAAGTCTGAAGGATGTCAAAGGGCCATAGTCTCACGGGTTCCACCAGGGTCTATCAAACCAGTAAGCCTGGTCTTTTTTTTTTTCTTCATATATTTGAAGAAAATTTTTTTCCCACTCTGTCCAGGACCTTCCATTGTGGTCCCAGTCAGAGCAGTTGGTAGTGGTAGCCAGGCACCATCTAGTTTTCCTGGTCTCAGGCTGTAGTTCATGTGGCCCATTAGTCCTTTGGACTAATTGTGTCTTTGAGTCTTTGGTCTTCTTCACTCTTCTTATACTGGCTTTATTGCCTGAACTAGGGAAGTTCGAATCCACCAGCTGCTCCTTGGAAACTCTGTGGGGCAGTTCTATTCTGTCCTATAGGGTCACTATGAGTTCAAATGGACTCAACAACAACCAGTTAGGTTTGGTTTTCTGTATCTCCTCACACAGCACTGAGGCTGCCTGATGGCGCAGCTGTTGTGACCACCGGAGGTCAGCCACACCCCCCAGCAGGCCACATGGGGACACAGCTGGGTCTGGAACACTGCACTGGGACTCAGCCATGCTGGGCCAGACCCACAACAGCTGGTCTGTCCCTCCACTCTGCTTCTCCCTCCCCAGAATTTGACAAATGGTGGTTTTTGAACCCCCTATCTATATCCTTCCCCCATTATAAAAATAATTCAGAACAATGAGCCCAAATCTTATTTCCAGATCACATAAGCAATAACACGCAGCTTTTCTAAGGACTGAACTGCGTCCCACTGACACTGCAACATTACATCGACTCAGGAGAATCATATGAGCGGAAAACTCTATGAGGGCTGGCATGGTTTACATCATAAGTAGCTGGCCCGCATGACAACAGTGCTGAATTTCCCTTAAACAATCTGGCTGAGTTGTATATTGACGGAAACGTCCGCTACTCTTAAATCAATGTTTATGGATTTCTATTCTGAAGCATCGGGCAAAGTTTGCACACTAACAGGCCCGGGGAACGCTCTTGCATTACAATGTAAATGGCCCACTCCTCAAGGAGGAGTCCTCCAGGGGATGCTATGTATTATTTTTATTATTTTGTACTTTTAATCATTTGAAATGTCTATTCAATGTTCTCATCCCCAGAATCTCCCTTTCTAGACTTAGAAATTGCTTAGGAAAAACTTACTCTTTTATGCCAACGGGCATTAAAAGATACATCCTTCACCAAAACATGAAGGGCACTTTACTATGCAACACAACGTAATGGGAAAAAACATTAGGACAGTTGCACAGTACCTGGCTATGTGACTTTCAGCAAATTTCATAAAAAACCTGGGCTACAATTTCCTCGCCTATAAGGAGATTAAACCTTAGTCTGTGCCTCAGTTTCTCTCGTCTGTAAAGCGACGATATTCCTAGGATTATCGTGAGAATCTAATGACCGTAATCCATACATAGAATTTAGAATAATCCCTGGAATATAAACTATAAATAATAATAATAATATAAATAATGATAATGATGATGATAGCAGCCATTGTTGTTAGCTGCTGCTGAGTCAGTCTCCCACTCATGGTGACTAAATGCACAATGGAATACAATGCTGGCCGGTCTTAGGCCATACTCATGGTCAGTTGCTGATGGGACCGAATAGTGGTTATTATATGATTGTTATGGATAGGAGTGAGAAAAATTATATTACTTCTGTATTAAGAGAAAGATTAGTCCATTACAAAATTGTGAGAGCAACACCCACTCCCACCTCCACTCTCCTTTATGGAAGTTTCCCAAAGTCTCAAGCACAATCAGAATAAGGAAAAAAAGATCTGCTCAACTCATCCACGTAAACATGTTGAGGATGTCACATGCTACACCACTGAGATATACTTGCATTTTCCAACAGGCCTAAAGAGAGAATATGTGATTATCTAATGTGGAATCTCAAGCACTAGTGATGGAACATATTTTCCCTCAAATTGTGTCCTGAAATCACAAGAGAAAAATAGTCAGCCTCTTTGCTGGACCTGAATGTGCAGTTCGTAAATACTACACATTTGAAACAGACAGAAAAAACAAACAAACACTGTCCCTGAAATCAAGAGAGGAGCCCCACGTGTGTCTGTAGAATTGTCTGTAAGAGGTAGTGGTCAAAGTGTAGTTCTTGAGGAAGCTGAGACATGGGCTCCAAGATAGCATTACAGGAGAACAAATTCCACCAGTCTCTAGAGCATGGCCAACCTCCTTGTTAAGTGTTTGGCTTCAGCAGGAATTCAGTGGTCATACAAAGAAGACAAGATTGGTAGAAGTTGGATAGGGAGGGAGATGGATCAGTGCAAACCAAGGCACTCCCCTGGTAGACTCCAAAGTGGACCTAAGTCGCATTTATACAATTCCCAACATACCTGGGCCATCTGGCCCATGGATGATGCTGGATACCTTTCAGCACGTAGGACTGGTCAGCAGAGAATTGGACGTATTCCTGAAGGGCACCCTGGATGGTAAGGGTGAGAAAGATCCATTGCAGAGCTCTGTCACATTGCATTGAGCACCATGATGGTGTGCTAGCATGTGCATCTCTAGTATTAGGCTCAGGCAGACTTGCCCTTTGGCTTGCTTCAAAGTCTGCCTGGATATGCCAAAATGTCACATCCACCTCACTTTTACATTTCCTAACTTTGGAAGAGAAAAATCAGCAGGCAGAGGTTGAAGGAATTAATTATGATAGGGAATCACAGCGGCTGACTGTGGTGTGTGTAGCATTTAAAGGTGGAGAGGTACTTGCTTCAGTAGCACATATACTAATGCTAGAAAGATACAGAGACGATAAGCATCACTCCTGCACAAAGTGACACACTAATTCATGTACTGCATCATATTTTTGTAGAAGGCCAATGAACAGACACTGAAATAACAGAGTTAGAAAAGTTGCCATTTGGCATCCATTGTAATAATGATTGATTCAGGCAAGAAACCATCCGTGAACGCTAAAACTAGTAGGTGAAAATTTGAAGCAGAAAAAGATATTAATATGGTTTCAAAGAACATCCACACAAATTCCTTGTTAACTTCAAAGGAAAAATAGCCACTTTACAGTGGAAAAACCTGACAGAAATCACCTTAAACAAGAGATCGAAATTAACATCTCCAGTGGACAAAGTAACATCAGTGCCTCCCGATAGGATGCAATGAGAAGGACACAGTACCATTTCTGTGGGATTTCTGCCAAAAACCTCATCATGAGGAAGTATCATATTCATGGGCATTCTACAGAATAACTGGTCTGTACTCCTCAAAAATATAAAGGTCATGAAAGACAGAGAAAGACTGAGGAAATGTTCCAGATGAAAGCAGATTGAGGAGATATAACAACTAAAAACAATGGCTGACCCTGGAGTGGATCGTGGAACAGGGGTAGCAGTGATTACAGAGCACACCATTGGAACAACTGATATCTGAATACTGATGTGGATTAGATAATCATGTTGTATCAGTATTAAAGATCCTGATGTTGAATAACTGCACTGTATCCTTGTAAGAAAATAGCTTTTTTCTTAGTAAATACACACAGAAGTATTTACAGTAAAGGGGCATGATGGCTAAAACTGATTTTCAAATTGTGAAGAAAAACATTAGACAGACACATACAGAGAGAGACAGAGAGAAAGAGTAAAAAACAAATGCGTCAACAAGATACAACTATTGTTCTTTAATCACCCGGAACAAAACAGAAATAAGGAAACCAAAGACTCAAAGAAGAAACTAGTTTAAGAACTAACAGTTTACACAAACAATGGCCTCAGCTACCTTGAGACTAGGACCAGATGGTACCTGGTTACCACTACTGATCGTTCTGGTCCCGGATATAATGGGAGAAAATTGTAGAACAAAACTCAAATTCCTTAAAAGAAAAAGGCCAGAATTACTGGACCAGTAGAGACTAGATGAACCCCTGAGATTATTGCCCTGGGATACCCTTTAAATCTGGAACTCAAACCACTCCCAGAAGGCACCTTTCAACCAAGTGACAGATTGGCCCATAGAATAAATAATATCACTCATCAGTACCAGGCTCCTCTAAATAATCATCTAAATGAAACCAAACAGTAAACCTTTTCCCTAGATCAAAGATGAGAAAGGAAGGTGGGGCAGGGGAGCTAGATTAAGGGAAACAGAACAACCAGAATGGAAACAATGAGAATGCTGATACATTGTGAAAAATATAACCAATGTCACTGAACAGTATGTATAGAAATTGTTAAATGAGAACCTAATATCCTATGTAAACTTTCACCAAAAACACAATAAAATATTAAGACAAAATAATAATAAATGGGCCAGAATGTAAATCATTGGTAAGTTGGGTAAAGGATGTAAGGAAGTTCTTTGTAGTACTGTTGCAACTTCTCTGTAAATTTGAAATTCTATCAACATAAAAAGGTACAATACAAAGATGGGAATGTGTGTAGACAGATGGCTGAATTGGTGAAGAAAACCTTTTCCCCATGATCATAATTCCCATCTCTTATCTCGTATCATGGATGAATAATACAGCAACTGACAATGCTGAGAAGTATCAGTGGTGAGTCTATCATTCAAGTACCATGCTGTCCATGCGACTAAGATGGAACTTGATTGGGGATTTTAATAAAATCTTGTCATTCCTGAGCTTTACTTCTATTTATGAAATTAAGCAACCAAATTTCGTAATTTTCAAAAGGCTGAAGATAGATGTCTCGGCCACCTCCTGTTGGTCAATTTCTTCATCTTCTACACGGGGATCACAGTACTTGACCTGATCAACAAGAATGGAGCAGTAGCGCTGTCATATTTCCTGAGACCACATAGGCGAGAAGAGCAGGCAGGCAAATGATGGGGCAAGGTGGAACTTTCCCAGTGTGACTGTCAACACTCTGCTTGGGCCCCTCCCCTCCCTGCGGGTCTCATGAAGTCCCGAGTCCCCGTCTCCCTGCCTCCCAGTCTCAGTGCTGGGAGGAGGCTTTCACAGATGTTTACGGAAAGACACAATTTATACAACAGGCCCTCTGCGGCCTACAAATTAGAGAGCAAGTTCTCTCCCTCCCTAGGGCTCATATAAAACTTTTTTTTCTGCCAGAATAACAGTGAGTGTGTACAGATAAACCACAGAGAATAAGCTATGAAAAACATAAACCAGAAAGAGAGCCTTAGTCAGGTGCCGAAACGTGTAAGGCCTTGAATAGACTGAGACTGTATTTGGTTGGCAATGAGGAATTTCCGATGCTCCTAAGCAGAGGAATGACTGGAGTCCTGCCCTTGCTGAGCCCTGACCACATGCTCTTTCTCTTTCATATTCCCTCCAGGGTTGGCGCAGTTCTTCCTGGAACCTAGGGCATTCTCAATAAATACTACCTAATTGCACAGAATTGAATTGTAAAAGTAGCCACTCAAAACTGGTTCACTTACTGAGGGCTACAAGCCAATATGGAAAAAGCTGAAGGAAACAGATTGTAATTTAAAGAGAAGATGAGTAAAAGCCAAGTATTGGATTTAGCTTTTATTTCCCATTCCACCTGGGGTTTCCAGTGGTCTGGGCAGCTCACTTAACTCTCTACATCTTACCTTAAAAAAATCAGAAGCAACAGACCCAGCCTCTGTCAGGGGCTATGAAGACAAGTTGCTGCTGTTGTTTTTTTTCTTTTTGTTACTGGAAAATTTATTCTTTGATATATGGGGATCTATATTTAAAAAGAAATATTTTTCAACTGTTACCATAATCATTTTCCAACTTGATAAACATAATTGATGTTACTGAGTTGCACTTGTGAAGAATGCTGAAATGGCAAATATTTTGTTACATGTCTATTTACAACAATTTAAAAAAGAAAACATTATTCCAAGTCTAATTCTCCCTATGTCACGCAATACGGATCTGGACCCAAGCTTCAGATTTCATAACACCATCTCTCAGCGTGCCCATTTCATATTTTGTATTCCATTGAATGTTGGAAGATTTAGATGTTTCAAGCCAACTAGCAACTGGATCCTAAAAGTTCTGGATCCTTCTGCCCTTGTTGACAGACCAACAGATGTGCATCTCATCTCAAATGAGCAGGTTCCTAGTTGGTTCACTATTTGGACTTGCAGCTCTTGGGACAATGTTAGCATAGCCTGGGCAGAAACCCTTCCTTCTCACAAATAGCAAGGGTTCTGGGAGCTTGAAGACTGCGTTGAGGGAGGTAGAGGCTGCTGTGCTGCACACCACCAGTGTCTTGCTCCAGGGACAACCATCCACACAGCACCCCATTTCCCAGAGCCCTTTGGCCTCATGCCTGTAAGTATGAGGAAGAAGGACTCTGAAGGCCATCTCATCACATCTTTATTGGCATAAAAGTGCATGGGACAGAAAGGATGCTGCCTTTCTTACGAGACTTGTGACTGAACACTCTTGACTTCAGTCCAAATCCCCACTGAGTAAAACCATGGCCTTAAACCTTAAATGAAGAACCACAATACCCTCAGGTTGAACAGGACCTTAGAACCTACCTAGTATCATGGTTCTCCACTGCCTGGTGATGGCGCTTGGTAGTTATGCAATGCCTTGTAAGTAATTTGCTGCTAATAATGACTAAAGTCTTACTCGGTAAACGCTTTATTTTAAAAATAAATCAGGGGGATTAAGGTTTGTCTTAGGCTGGGTTCTCTAGAGAAGCAAAACCAGTAAAGTGTATAAATATATATATAGAGAGAGATTATATCAAGGAAACAGCTCACGCGATTGTAGAGGCTAGAACGTCCCAAGTCCGTGGATCAGGGTAGAGGCC